GATTGAATTAAAAACCTTGAATGAGTTCATCACACTCATATTAAGGCAATTAACCTTTGGTTTGACCTTATTGACCCAATTGACTAACTTGATCCATGGTGAATGTATTATTTGTCGATTTGAGTCCATTGAGCCAAATTTATCAAATTATTTCAATTGACATAAAGTAACCTCTTCATTAGATGTTCAACATATGATTTGACCCTCATGACTCATTAACTTAATCTTTGTTAACCCTAAATCCAAGTTTGATTAACCTTGATTCATTTTAATCATTTTGACCCAATTAACATTAAACCTTAAAATTGGTTGACCTAATGGATCCTAGAGCTTCTAAAAGTTTTTCATAAGTGAACCACACTTAACTAAATCCCCTTGCCCCATTGATTTAGTAGGATTGGGTTTTTGACCCATATTGGCCCAACCGGTTTGGGTCAACATGAGCTAAAATCTATTTCAAACCTAAGTTAGTTGAGCTAACTGGAGCCATTAGATGCTTAGGACTCATCCCTAATCTAAATAGAAATATTAGTTAAAGCCAATCTCAAGCAATTACGGTTAGAAAAGTAATTAGGAAGGATTAGTGTTAAACTATCAAATTAAACTAATTTCAAGTAAAGGATTGTTCTCACTCGGTCACATTCTTCCCATTTGATCCCATCCATCACATGGAGTATGCCATGCATCCAGTTAATTGATAACCATCATTAATGGCCTAAATTTTGGCCGTGAATGAGACCCATCCATTTGATCTTGGTTCATTCTCTGGCATTCTAGCAATTTTCTAAAACAATTCTCAAACTGCATGTCTCATAGGCGAGCTCCATTCACTAATTAACCCAAATTTTGCTAGGAGTTTGGTCTTCCCAATGATCCAAACCACCTTGAGCTAATATGTATTAGGTTATTTATAACACCTATTGAATTGGGTTTAGTTAATTGCACCTGTTCTGACTTGATCTAAAAGAGGTAACTTATTGAATTCTACAATTGAACTCTCTTACATGTGTCTGAGAATATTTTGTATGCATGTGAATGTCTGAATCTACTCTTGTACAGGCCCCGGGGGTGTGTGTGTGTATGTTTGTAAAATTTTAATTTTTTTCCCTAGGGGCACCACAATAGGCAATGCTGCGACATTGAGCTCTCTGGAATTTGACAAATTAAATATGATGCTACCACGGTGGGGGCAGCAAAGCGGCGTCGTGCCCTGGTATGGTGAGCACTGCAATGCTGTGGTTTGGGCACTGCGACACTAGGGACCATTTTAATAATAAAATATTCTTTTCCACTAAAATGAATTCATTTCTTCCTTTAGAAGCACTAGGGACCATTTTAATAATAAAATATTCTTTTCCACTAAATTGAATTCATTTCTTCCCTTAGAAGGAGAGAGAGAGAGAGAGGACTTTAGTTTATTTTTTGAATGGACCAGTTCTAAAAGTTATCCAACTTGAGGTATGTTACATTTTATTTATCTTAGTTTTTAATAATTTGTTGATTTTGATATTTTCCTTATTTAAAATATAAATTTCTAGTGTTAAAACCTATATAACTTTTAAACAGCGAACTTTTTCACCATGTGATTTATGGTATATTATAGGGACCGTAGTTATGGACATATATATATATATGTAATTTTTGGCCTAAATTTTTTAAACGCTAGTTTTTTAAAAATATAAAAAATATTTATGCACTGAAAAATAGTAATGTAGAACAATTAATTGCTGAAACATAGTTCTGCACAATCTCTAGTACTTTATTAGAATGTGGATAAATAAATTGTACCAACTTATTTGCATTTTATGTTTCTATGAACAAATCTGCATAGTTAACAATATACCTTCTCAAAAGAGAGATTGATGCTTGACTCTCAATTTAATAACATAAATATAATTTATTTTCATGACCAAACTCAACATACAAAATATAATATTCAACTTGAAAGATAAAAATGACATATAACTATCATTTTGAAAATGAAATTAACTAATATATAATAATTTATCTACATCCAAAGATCTTAGGTCTTCTATAGAAGCAAACCTATATAGTTAATTGCATCCCAAGACAAGTTTTGAGGAAACTCTCGATTAAAGTGATGACTAAACTTATTTAGATTTACAATGATTGTAGGCAAAGATTGGATCAGGAATTATATCAACAGGGAATGGATTAAAGTGTGAAAACTTATTTTTGATATTCACATGAAGAAAGGTATCCAGTATTTGAGATTCTTGGATAACCCAAAAACATTCTAACTTATACTAGTGTTTGACTTTATTATTTAGGTCAGTATTTAATTTATGTTTAAATTTATGATTTATTAGAAGATTGAGATCATTCTCCCATAAGAAAGTATGAGAAGTGTATGCAAATATGGACTTCTGTCTGCTTAGAGTGGATAGCCATTTAACCACCTAAGCACATAATTAAAAAACTATGCTTTTCAAGTCTAATGCATAGAGGGTAGATAGTTATTGTTAAAATTAAGGTTTTAGATTTAAAATTTAAATCATGAATTTAAAATATGTCTAGGGTTTAAATGCACCTAACTAATACAATTTGATATGACTTTACCCATGACTCTAAATCTATATATAATTCTACAAATTATTTTAAGTCTGAATTTTCTTGAAAATTTTGATAGCATACCAGCCTTAAATCCATAGGGAATAGTAGGCTCGGCCCCATCACTTAGGATGTCCCTTGCTTTCCGTAGGCTTGTGTGCGTTGTTTTGTGTATGTTGCATGAAAATAAAATACATGCATGTATGCATATATAGATAAAGGTGTTCGGGTATGCAATACCAAACCGCATCATCCTAGATTTAATATATGTGTCCTTACAAAGGTAAGGGCAAATACATCGTAAAAACCAAAAATAATAATCTACCCTCTAATTCAATCATATACTAACCCAATGAATGGAATGCATGTGTATATGAAGAAGTAAATCAAGAAACTTAAATGTATGTATGTATGTATGTATGTATGTGTGTGTGTGTATATATATATATTGCATTTGTAAAATTTGGATATATTTAATGCATTCAATTTTGATTTTCAAAATTATTTGAGAATTTTATTTTACTAATTTTAGTGGTTTTACAATTTTATATAGTAAAAATAGAAATTGAAGCCCCTTGCACATTTATATGGATGTGCACTTATTTTCTTGTCCTATGGGCTCACTCTAAGCTTAACTTAGCTTCATTTGAGATAACTTTATTACTATTTTACTTTTTAGATCACAACCATAATTTCTGTTTAGCCATTACTTTTTTGCTTGTTTCAAAAAAATAATTGTTCTAGGAAGTTGCTTTCTACAACAACTTTAAAATTTTACGTTCTCTATAATAGATTTACAAAACAGTAAGAAAGTCATCCCAAACGAAGCCTTAGTTTCATTGAATTATTTGGGGAGTTTTTCTACTTTTCATAGTTAAAATGTCCAAAACTTCGATTATTAATAATATAAAATAGCTCAAGTAGCCTTGGGAAATTTTATGGTTGCTCAAAACATTAACTTAAGTGATCATATGCTTATGTAGAATTTTCCAAAATTTCCAACTTCAAAATTCTATTTTCTTAATTTTTTTATAAAATATGATTGCACTTGAGAAAATCAATCTGATTGTGTGAATCCACTGCCCATGCTTGAATTTTAATTTTGAAAATCATCTCCACTAATTTGAAGAACTTTCAAATTTATTTAATATTTTTTCAAATTTATTTGATAAATTTTATAATTAATATGATATTTAAATTAATTTATCAATTTAAAAAATTAAGATTTAATCTTTGATTTAATTCTTCAATAAACCCTTTAAGTTAACTTTCAAAATTTAAAATTTTTCAATGTCAATTTTGAAGTGTCAAGCTTCTATTTTCAATTGTTTTAAGTATTTTGACAATTTAATTTTTCTTAATTTTGTGATTTTTTCTTGGAAATTCTTAAAATATTTTGAAAATTAAATATTCAAAATTAAATTTTATTAGATTTGGTCCAATCTATTATGAGCAAAAATCCTAAATATAATACATTGTACACATTCTATGGTGTCTTAGTTAACCCAAGATAATTTTATTGTCATGAGTTATGTCACCACACCTAGCATATATCTATTTAATTGATTTTAATTATGACTTATTGAACTATAATGGGTTTGATTGATATGGATTAAGCCCAACATTATATATATGAGGACATTAATTATTTTATCACAATTGATGAATTCATTAGTACTTCATTACACTTTCCTAGATTGCTTATACGTAGCTCATCTTTATCTGTTGGTTAGAAACTTTGACTATCAGTTAAGAAGTTTAGAACTTAAATCTTACGTATATAATGTATATATAGGGGCGAAACCCCTTTATGACTGAGGGGCAATTGCCCTCCTAAATTTTTTTTTTATTATACTCTTATTTAGATTATTTTTAGTCTTTATTACAAGGACTTTAAGGTAATTGTCCCCCTCTAAAAATGTTAAAATACAATGGTTTTTAGGCAATTGCCCCCAATATAATTAAATACATTATGTAGATGTATTATTGTTAAGGAATGATGAACCAAATACAAAGAGAAATAGTAAATCAAAATTTATTCCGGGGGCGCTGCCCCTTGACCCTGCGACCTGACCGGGTAGGTCGAACCCCTCCAAGGGGCGTTGCCCACATATGCGAACAATTACTCATACGTTTGTCCCCCTGAAATTATAACTGGTTCCACCCCAGTTTATGTATAAGTTTGAATGATGTTCAAAAATAATTCAACTGATTTTAAAAAATAATTCAAATCTTATTTGAATGATATTCGAACTTTGCTCAAATAGAATTTGAATTTCGTTCCAAGACACAGTAACGTGGCCAATGTCAGAAATCCTGACACACTTCAGTGCAATCTAACGCCATCCGCGGACAGATCCTAACGCCGTCGACTACCTCCTCCTTCCCGTCAGCCTCCACTCGCTCCAGACAAACGATAAGCGAACAATAAAAAAGCCACCTTTTTTCCTCCTGTCGGCTTCTTCTCCTCCATTTTATTGTTTTATTAGCGAACCAATTAATCGCAACATATCCATCTCAAAGGCTACAAATCCTTCTTCTTCCAACTAATATTTTTGTTCTGGAATAAATTTTCCTCCTAATCTCTGTTTTTCTGAGATTTCTCTGTTTTGAAGAACGAAATTTAGCCTCTTCACCTCTTACTTACCACTGTGGTGGTCTTATTCGAATCTTATCGTCTCCTTCTCAGATCTAATAGTCATCATATTCTTTCTATTCCTGCTTTGCACTCGTCTTTTTTTTTTTTTTTTTTGCCCCAATGCAGTGAAAAGGTTTTTTTTTTCATTTAGAATAGAGTTGGGTACCCCCACCTGAAAACCAAGATATCCAGCTCCCTTTTATCCTTCGTTCATTTATATTGCTTTAAAGCCTCCTCTTTGACTGCTCTAGAGTTGATAATGATGTAACGGCAGGCTCATCATAGCTCCTGAAGTTATTCTTTTTAGCTTGAAAAATATTTCTTGGATTCCTTTTTCCTCGAGTGTGATGTTCTTCCCCGTTTGATTTTTGGGGATTTGTGACTTGGCTACGAAATCCAACTGTATTTTCTTTTTTATTTTCCGAGTTTTCAGAGCTTGACTGGCTGGGATGATAGCTTTTTCTTGCTAAAAAGCTCTCTTTTTTTGGTTCTATAGAAAAAAAATGAGATCTTTGGATTTTGTGAGCTTGATCTACTTCTCGAAATAACCATTTTTATCTTTGAGATGATTTGTTAGCCATGAAGACTGTTTTGTGTCTGACCCGTCTTCTAAAAGATAAGATCTTTGGCTTCGAGAGCTAGATCTTCTTCAAAGAGCCATTTTTTAGCTTCTAAGATGATTTCAGGAACCATGAAAGGCTTCTACACGATGAAAACTTTGCTTTTTTCTTGGATTTTGATGGTGGGCGGTGTAAGTGGGATTGGTGCGAACTGGGGGACGCAGACGAGTCATCCACTGCCACCAAGCACGGTGGTTCAGCTTCTGAAAGACGATGGGTTTCAGAAGGTAAAGCTTTTTGATGCAGAAGATGGGACGATGAGTGCTCTCAGGAACAGCAAGATAGAGGTGATGGTCGGAATCCCAAATGATATGCTTCTGACGTTGGCAACGAATGTGAAAGCCGCTGAAAAGTGGGTTTCAGAGAATGTTTCCAGCTATGTCAATGATGGAGTCAATATCAGGTTTGTCTTCTGTTGAAATTGAGTTTTTTTAATGAATTTTGAGTAAATGTAATCTCGATTGTTAGAAATTAGCAATTAATGTGTGTTTGAATTTGCCTCACGGTGGGAGCAAGGCCTCCAACAATGGGGCCACAAAGCCTTGAAAAGAAGTTGCATTGCCTTTTTTGGAGGGAGGATTTACAAGCATGCTACTAATTTTTTTTTGTATTTACATATCTAATAATTATTTTTTTAGTTTATTTATATAACAATGTAATCTTTCAATTTCATCAAATATGTAATAATATTAGCTAAGCTAAAGTGAAATATCCATTTTAATGTATATGTTTTGATATGATTTAGATATTATGTGTCATGTAAGTAAATATAATGATTTAAGTATTAAATGTATAAATACATAAAAACTCGGTGGTATATTGTAACTTGTTAATTTGATGAAAACAATGCTTAAAGAAAAAATCTCTTCTTCCATAGCAAATGTACTTCCAAAACATCATCTTCATCTTATTCTTATGTTTTCTTCACCCCTCCTCTAACAAATGCCTTTTCGTTGCGATCACAACTTTGAACTTTTTCACCACCATGATGTTGTTTTTTGTGATTGACTCTCATCGACATTGCAATTTTTTTTGTCCTAAATTTGTTGTTTAACTCTAGGAAGCACAACACTCCCAAGTGCCTATCACGTCTCTATCAGGACACAAACATGGCTATGACAAGCCTCAACATGTATCTAACACTTCAGAAATTGTGCCATATCAATTTAGTTAGTCAAATTTTATTAAATTGATATTCAATAAACTTCACATATTCATAGTTTATATTTGTATTGTAGGGTTGCAAATTTTCATAATAACATTGTTGTTATACTGTTTGCATGAAGATCATGGGTATGTGGTATGTACAGAATAATATTTATTTTCAAAATGATACCAACAAAAAAAAAAATCATCAAACATTCATATTACATTTTATTCTAAATCCTAATCATTCAAACTTGCAAGTGGTTGTTTAAAAATGAACACTTGACTATGAATATACATTGATCACATAATTCCCTTTTTCTATAACCATATTCCTAAATTTTCATTAAATGCTAGTGTGTATGTTTACGAATATAACATTATATACTTTTAAATTTAAACTTGCATTACATACCTTCTTGAAGAGCTGAATCCTCAAATCCTCTACCTCGTACCCCCTTCTTCGATTGTAAGTAACCTACAATAACCTATTTTACATTCAATAAATTCCACAATCTATCATTCAATTAATTTGCATAATATTAACTTATACTAAATATAATATATTACCTCAAAACCTCCCTTGTGCATATACCCATGTAATTCCTTCAGTTTGTGAAATCTCCTTTAAGCATTTACACTAATATTTGGAATTTAATAAAACTACCATAACATTGCAATATAAGCAATTTTCTCACCTTGATTTCCTCTTCTCTGATTTTTCTTTCCTTGATTCTTATTCCGCACTGTTATTACTCCAACAATCCATTTTATAACTCACAGCAATGACATTTTAGCACATTAACGGCTTTCCCAAACTCCAACACCCACTTCTACCTGCTTAGAATATCGGATCCTTTCCTTGCACAGTGCTGATCTCTCCTCTTCAATTCACTATACTGAACTATTCTTCACAACAAGATACCGCACTATTCCTTCTTCACAGCACTGAATTGTGCTTTACATAAGTGAACCTTATCTCTTCGGTTTGCATAGATTATCCGATAGAATTGATGGCCCACTATAACCGCTAGTCTACCATACGGTGCAAGCATCTATTCAGTGATTAGAATATTAGAAATGAAACACTTAAGTTACTGTAATACATTATCTTTCAACGATGAATTTATTTTCTTAACATCAATTTGAAAAGTATTATTATTTAAACTTCTTTAAATTTTAAACAAAATATAAATTTTTATTACTTGAAAAGACTTGGTTAGAAAATATTAGGAATGACCTTTCTTTATTAGATTTAAACGAGAATTTGACTTTTAATAGAATACAATGGAGAAAAAGGATTCATGTAGCTGACACCACGTAGTGGGATAAAGGCTTGATGTTGTTGTTGTACCTGAAATTTTTTGAATATTACATAGCTAGTGAATATTTACTAAATGGACATTGAATTGATTCAATTATATGACCTCAGCCCTAAAAATCAAGGAGCGCACTGCTTGAGATAGAGCACTTTGATTAACCAAAACATAGGCTACTTTATCCATTTATTAAATACCATGATACAAGCCATCTAGCTTTATTTATTAGGATCCTAGAAGTTTAGTCATTAAAAATCTGCTATGCCAACATGTACATGACTTATGTGGTCTTGTGAACTTGGATTAGCTCGGATATGGATGGCTCCAACTTCTGTAAATTCTATTTGTTGGATTCAAGTGATCCCACCCTTGAACTTCATTTAATAGAATGTTAATCTCAAGAATGTCACTTAAGAGTGGCTTATGTAAGAGTGAACTTGTGTACTAAGCCCTTTCAATTAGCCAGTCTTTGTAGGTATACATAGCTTTCACTCGAAAAGCATGCCAAGTTGCCAATTTGTCTAAATGACCAACTAATACTAATGATCTTCCTCTCCATACCATCTTCTCTTAGCTTTCAGTTGCCCGACGATCTTAACACTTGTTAGAACTGCTACAAGAAAAAAAAATATGTTTCAAACCTTGTCAAAAAACTATTTTGTGACTGCTAATCTTGTTGCAGATCGTAATGATTTTTATGTGACAAGACAAGACAATAGCAAAAAATATTACGACACAAAGATGTGTTGCAAATAGCTCAATAAGATGATCTCCCAGGAATGATTTTGCGGGTGGATCTGATTGCAAAAAGGTGCATTCCATGTAGCTTGTAATCATTTCTATAAGTTTTAGAATTGCAAACATGAAATAGAAATGGTAACATCACACAATCAAAAATACATGCAATAACCAAGCAATATATATGAATAACAAATGATTAACTGATGCAAAAGATCAAATAAAAATTGAATATTTCTGCACTACAATAGTACACAATGCGCAATGTATACAATAATTGATCTATTCCATCTATTTCACTAAAGCAAAATTAACCAAAAATATACTCGTCATCAGTATCAACATCATCATCCTCATCTTCATCATTGTTATTCTCAACCATCATTGTTATTCTCAACCTCACCTTCATTATGAGTGCATCCCAGGCCACCTTGCTGTTGTATCTTTTTTAGCATGGATCAAATAATCTTCTCAACCTCATGGCCCATAACAAGTATATTACCAATATTGTATTGATAATTTTGGTTAGTAGTATAACTTGACATAATTAATGATTAATACAACAACAACAACATCAAGCCTTTATCCCACTACGTGGGGTCGGCTACATGAATCCTTTTTCTCCATTGTGTCCTATTAAAAGTCAAATTCTCGTTTAAATCTAATAAAGAAAGGTCATTCCTAATATTTTCTAACCAAGTCTTTTTAGGTCTACCCCTACCTTTCTTAACATAAGTCAAATCTAATACCTCTACTCTCCTAACCGGGTCATCGCAAGGCCGCCGTTTTATATGACCAAACCATCTAAGGCGACTTTCTCAATCTTATCTTCTACTAGAGCTACTCAACCTTTTTCACTATATGCTCATTTCGTATCCTATCTCTAAGGGTAAAGCCACCATCCACCTGAGCATCCTCATCTTGTCACACTTACTTAGTATTATGCTTCCTTTTTAAAGGCCAACATTCGGCACCATAAAGCATGTAGGCCTCACTACCATCTTATAGAATTTTCCCTTAAGTTTGAGGGGTACATTTTATCATATAACAAAGCCCGATGCATTCCTCCACTTCAACCATCCAACTTGAATTCTGCTGATAATATCCCCATCTATTTCACTCCCACTCTGAAACAATAGATCCAAGATATCTAAACGATGTACTCTTATTAATGACTTGATCGCCCAAAGTCACAATCCCCTCACTAGGTTCTATTACTACTAAAATTACACTCCATAAATTTCTGTTTTAGATCTACTCAAGCGAAAACATTAGACTCTAAGGTTGACCTCCATAATTCAGTTTACCTTCAAACTCCCTCTCTAGTCTATCAACAAGAAATATCATCAGCAAAAAGCATACATCAAGGTACATCCTCTTGTAAATGTCTAGTGAGAACATCCATGACTAAAGCAAAAAATATGGCTTAAGGCTGATCCTTGATGTAACCCAACTGAAATAGGGAAATACTTGGTCAATCCACTTGTGTTTGAACACAAGTAATAGCTCCTGCATACATATCTTTTAATGATTTGAATATAAGCATTATTGACTCCTTTCTTTTCAAGAACTCTCCATAGCACTCTTCTTGGAACTTTATCATATGCTTTTTTAAATCAATAAATATCATATGTAGATCCTCCTTATTTTCTCTATATTTCTCCATCAAACACCTCTTAATAAATGTATGGCTTCCATAGTCGACCTACCGGCATGAATCCAAATTGATTTTGAGAAAACATTAGTATTACGCGCAACCTATGTTCCATAACTCGCTCCATAGTTTTAAAGTATGACACATTACACTTAATACCTCTATAATTCGCACAATCTTGTGCATCACCTTTATTCTTAAAAATAGGAATTAACACATATTCTCCACTCATCTGGCATCTTCTTAGTCTTCAAAATAGTGTATTAAAAGTTTAGTAAGGCTATAAATTCCTCATCCTCCTAAGCATTTTCACACCTCTATTGGAATATCATTAGGTTCCAACAGCTTTTCCCACCCTTCAATTTCTTTTAAAGCCTCTCTAACTTCAGTTTTACTAATACGCCCGATAAAAAATAAATCTTTATTTTCGATTTAGGGTGCTAAGGTCACTATAGTCAATCTTATTTTCACAATCTTCATTAAAAAGTTTACAAATATCTCATCCATCTTTGTTGAATATCATCTCTCTAAAAAAAAATATTTTTT